ACAGGGCATATTTACTCATTTTTGCTGCCTGCATGTGTTTTTATTTGCAGGGCATATTACCTGACTGTTGTTGTCTGCATTTTTAACAGGCCCTTTTCTAAGTGATATTATTAAAATTAAAGTTTAAATGAGATTATAGTAGTTGAGTTTACATCTACTTTAACAAACTATGCTTGAGTTTTATGAACTGCAGTGCTGGGTACTTCTTATGTGCCCTGCCTGCGTGCACAGATAGGTACGCATAAAAAACGATTAAGGACCAATATTTATCTGCAACAACTGAGTGAAAGCTTTGTCAACACCTTAGCTACATTTTTTTCTATTAATTAAGGTATTTTTCCTTTTTTTTTTTTGCATTGTTTGAAAGAAAAAGGTGAAAGAACAGTGTGCACCTAAACCACATTACATTACTTACATTTACAGCACACCCCTATCCCCATAGATAAAATAATATTTAGGCATACACCGGTTAGGCCTATTATTTCTGATTAATACTCTCTTGCTGCTGGCCGATTTTATACTGCCTGTGCTCTGTCACTAGAATATTGGGCAGTGCTTTGTTATTAAAAATTGTCCATTTGATGGCCAGTTTTACATTGCTGTGTCATCTGCAGTATCTTAATTCTTGTAGTAAACACCTGCCTGTACTATGTGTTTCTAGTAAATTGGGTCTAGCCTTGCTATTTAAAATCATCCTGTTGCTGTCCAGTTTTACACTGCTGTGTCATTTGCAGTCTCTTATTAGTAAAACAACTGGCCATACTCTTAGGGGGTTATTCACAAAGCTGCCGAAGGATCTAGCCGTAGCTTCGGCTGATCCTTCGGCTAGGTTCGGCCCCAGGACCCCTTCGGTTCATTAGAACCGAAGGGCTTCTGTAAGGGCTATTCACTGTAGGCTGTACAGCTCCCGAAGTTGGCCGAGCGGTTCAGTCGAGCCAAAGGCATATGCTTCGGCTCGGCTGAGCCCAGGTGAAAGGCGAAGCTGGCCGAACATTGGCTGGCCGACAGCCTGCTACTGACAGCTGCGCAGAGCCAGCCGTCATCTCACGGCTGGCTCCGGCCACTTGCAGAGACAGATCAGCGTCCCTGGTTACCAGGTAACAAGGGATGTCGATCTGACATTACACTGAGAACCCGGCGGAGCCGCCGTGATATCACAGCTGCTCCATCGGGTTCTCAGTGTGTAATGACAGATGGGCGTCCCTGGTACCAGATAACGGGAGTTTATCTATTACCTGGTATTAGATAGCGGCTCCCAGCCGCCCGGAAGAGAAACACTTTCTCCAGGAAAGGTTTACTCTGCTCGATTCAGCAGAGTAAACCTTTCCCTGCTCTGTTATTTTTTTTTTCTTCTGACATCAGAGCCGCCTGCCGCCGTCAGTCAGAAAAAAACCAGCATTGGAATGCATAGCTACATTCCTATTGGCTATTTCACTTTGCAATAGCCAATAGCAAACTAGCTATTGCACCCGCCCACTGCTGCTGTCAATCAGCAGAGGGGACCTGAAGTTCTCCATCAGGTCCCCCTCCAGTGATTGACAGCCGCAGAGGGGGGGTGCAATAGCCAGCTTGCTATTGGATATTGCAAATTAAAATAGCCAATAGGAATCTAGCTATGCATTCCTATGCTGATTTTCTTTTTTCTTTAGTCTGGCGGCAGCAGCTGTCAGAATGCGCTCCGCCCAATTGTTTTCAAATTTTTTTCGACTTTTTTTTACTGTTTTTTTTGGCCGAACATGCTGAGCATGTTCGGCCGACCCGAAGCCAGCCGCAGAAAGCCGATGTACGGCTGATTTAAGTCGGTGTAAAGCGTTCGGGTCGGTTATTCACGCGGCTGCCCTCAGCAGCTTTGTGAATAACTCCCTTAGTCTCTAGTACATTTGCACAGTTCTCCTTAACGTTTAGCTTTGTCTAATTAGAATGCATCAGGCATTTGTTACTGACAGTCTGATCAAAAGCTACCTTTTTTGGTGCAGTACCTCACTGCATTCTTATATTAAAAAAATTGTGCACCCAAAAAAACCACACAGACTCACCCTTTAAATGTAGCTTTTCAGTCACATTTCACACCTCCCCACTGCGGTGAAGGTCCTCTCTGACATGACACATGCAGCAAGGCTAGCACCTCAACGGCATATTGGGCCACTTCCAGCCAGAAGTACATCCTTCACACCCAGATGCTCACGAATATAATTGCTTGTGAACATTTTAGTTACAGCCTTGCCGACACTGGCTGTGCTTGCTTAAACAGGGCAGGGACGGCCTTATGAGGAAAAACAAATGACCAATGTAAAAAAAAACTGGAAAAAAAAGTGATGTTGTGGGGGAAGATGGCTGGTTCTGGACCAGCATCTGGCTTTAAGCATCAAAAATCATGTTTCTGCCCTTTTTGTCTTGTGTCAGAAACTTCACACTCATTGATTAAGGCCTAATCTAGTTCTCCTTTTCACCAATTAGAGCCATTCCTCCTTCTCTATTCTCACTTACAAAGTGGTCTTCCTTGTGGTTATCACCTCTGTGGGGCATGTGTCCCTTTTTTTTTTTGCTGCAAGGCTCTCCTTTAAGGCCCGGTTCACACCTGGGCGGTTTGTAACGCGTTCCTACGCTCTGCAAAACGCTCAAACACCGAAATCCCATTATTTCGTATGGGTATGGTTCACACCTGGGTGTATTACAGGCCGTATGAACGAGCTACAAAAAGAAGTGCAGGAGCTTCTTTGGGGCGTATTTGCCGCGCGTATCCATTGGTATACAGCCAGGTAGCCCTCGGAAACGCGCGTTTGTCGCGCATTTTTTTACAGTGAATCGCGGTAAAAACGCATGACAAACGCGCATATTCAATACGCCTATGAGCCCAGGGAAAGCCTGCTTCTGACAGCTGGGCGGAGCCAGCCGTAATCTCACGGGTGGCTCCGGCCACTTGCAGAGAGATCTGCATCCCTGGTTACCAAGTAACCAGAGACGCCGTTCTATCATCACACTGAGAACCCCTTGGAGCTGCTGTAAAATCACAGCAGCTCCGCCAGGTTCTGTGTGTAATGACACTGCGGCACCTCAGTACACTGAGGACCCGGCGGAGCTGCTGTAAAATCACAGCAGCTCCACCGGGTTCTGTGTGTAATGACAGAAGGCTTACCTGGCAACAGGGACACCTTCTGTCATTACATCCAGCTCCTCAGTACACTGAGAACCCGGCAGAGCTGCTGTAAAATCACAGCAATTCCGATGGGTTCTGTGTATAATGACACATGGGTAACCGGGGAAGCCCATGTGTCATTACGACTAGAGCTTAGGAGAGCCGGCAGTGATATGAAAGCCGACTCTGCTAAGCTCTCATCTTAATGACAGAACAGCATCTGCTGGTTACTAGGATGCTGTTCTGTCATTAGGATGAGAGCTTGGCAGAGTCGGCTTTCATATCCCCGCCGGCTACGACAAGCTCTAATTCTAATGACAGCTGGTCCCGGCCAATAGATCCGTTGGGCGGATCTAGCCGTTACTGCTGGCTCCGCCCAATTGTTTTCTATTTTCGTTTTTTCTACTTTTTTAACTGTTTTTCTAGTCTGCTCGGTACCACAGAGGTACCGAGCAGAATAGCGGAGCAGAATGCCGCTCAGCTGCATTTATGAGAATAGGCCGAACAGCAGCGAGTAGCCTGCTGGAGGTTCGGCTCAGCCGATCCAGATGTTGAATCGGCTGAGTTGAACTCCTTTTGCACTTTGGGTCGGCCATACATGCTGAGCATGTTTGGCCGACCCGAAGCCACCAGATGTATGGCTTATTTCAGCCGATATACGGCTGAAATCAGCCGTACAAGCCTGAAGTGAATAGCCGAACAGTGTTCGGCTCACTTCACTTCGGGACGGTTGGTCACTGGGCTGCCTACGGCAGCTTTGTGAATAGACCCCAATGTCTGGATTGCAGCATATGCTGCTTTAAAACCTGGATATATCTTTCAGCATTGATGGTGCCTTTCCAGATGTGCAAGCTGCCCATTCCTTACTCACTAATGCACCTCCATACCATCAGAGATGCAGGCTTTTGAACTGAGCACTGATTTTTCCTTAAAAGGTTTAAACATTTGATATGTTTTCTATTTCTAGTGTGAATAAAATATGGGTTTATGAGATTTGCAAATCATTTCATTCTGGTTTTATTTAGATTTTACACAGCGTCCCAACTTTTTTGGAATTGGGGTACTTGCAAGTGGCTGCTGTGCTGTGGTAGGTGTAAAAAAAGGCTTTGTCAGCCACTTAACTACCTTCTGCGTGATTGACAACTGGGAGGGGTGGGGGGTAAAATAAAAGGAAGATCGAGTGGATTGCGGACGGAGGTGTGTTTGGGGTGCCATTCAAATGAATGAAACTGTGTGATTAACGCACCGCACTGATGTGGATGGGCCCTAATCAGAAATGTTTTTCATAAGTACATGCATCCATGCTCTATAAAATAATGTAATACAGATATTTATTACATTTCAGAGAAAACAGTATACCCTCTAACAAAGACTTAATTTTCCTTTCTCATCGAAAGTGCTGCACCATCTTTGTTCAGGAACTATCCAGGGTCAGCATTTACTTCCTGGATGGAGTTGCTGGCTCTAAAATTACATAAATGTAATGTAATTATGTAAATGTTGGTGCCTGTGCAGTTCTTAGCTGTGTTTACAAATGTGTGACTGCTGCAGTCTCCTACTTTTTGAGCTGCTTCAAAGTCACAAAGTTGTAGTCTGACCACTGTGGCAGAGCTGATTGAGGAAATGCTCCCTCCTGCCTGCAGAAGAGTGATGACATCATCCTAACTTAGGCAAGGTCACTAGACTGGAGCTTGAGGAGAGCTTTTATTTATAAAAGGTGGAGCTTTTCTTGAATTATACGTTATGCACACTGACGTGTCAGGAATGCATTCATGAAGACTCGTAAAGTTACTGATCTATTTTTCTGCATCTATAAAAATGAAATATGTTTATTTTTCTTTAATGTAATATCTTATGGTTTTAGAGGATTTATTTTTTGAAAATAAAAGTGATGTATTTGAATACTACTGGGTATATACTTACTACACTAGTATTTTGCAGTGTATGCAGCCATGCATGGGCCAATGGGATGCAGTTTCGCAACAGTGTCAGAAGAAATGTGAGGTAATGACTTTTGTTATCTGAAATTAATATACCTCGATGTATGAGTATGTAAGTTCCAGGATATATCCAAGAATTACTCTTAAACTGCATGTGGAGACCTCATTTTTGGTGTTCAAAGGCTACCCCCGCACTGTAAGGGTTAAGTGCTCGTTGTCTAGGTTCACAAATAACAAAGTTATACTCACCCTAAGCTCGAGCCAGCCAGCTGTCACATGGCCCTACCTCCAGCTTCTCTCTTACTCCGTTGCAACATAGGAATGTTCTTCAGCATCCTCACATCTAAACAATGTGTAAAGACTTGGTGATTTATGGGACTTAGACCACTGCAGTGGAGGGGGGAGATACGTTGGAAAGACTGGTCTAAGAACTAGCCAGCTCGGAGGTTCAGGTAAGTATAACTTTTGTTTTAACCTAGACAAAAACAAGCAACTAACCCTTGCAGTGCAGGGGTAGACCAGCTGCAAGGGTTAATAAAAAATGTTTCCTGGAGTCCTTCTTTAATACAGAGCTACCTTCCATAGACTTACATTGAGTGGGACTGATTAATGGGCATCCAAATCTAATCATTTAAAACTCTGAGAATTGAATATATTCTTTGTTACTATTCCAAATATTTGTATTTATAAATTATAATTAATTATTATAGTATTTATACATTTCACATAAACCTCATAATGTAACAACTTCCATTCGGAACAGATTTGTATATTCAGCCAACTGAAAAACAACCGCTGAATCTGATTTCCAAGTGTTGGTTTTCAAAAAGACCCTTGTGAGCTCTATTTTGAATCCAGACCTCACTTAGATATATTGTACATTAGTGTAATAAACAGCTTAAAGGCATAGTCCACCTTTTGCAGAAATTAAGAAATGCACCCACATTGGGTGCAATAGCAGGGCTCCTACTGACTATTTTCCCAACCTCCATCTATGCACTATGGTATCAGCTCATTAGAATACCCAGGAATGACCAGCAACTTTGAAAAATATAACCTCCTACGTCTGCATTTTCTTTTTTCTGTGCTTTGAGAGCTGCCATTAGAGACCCTAACCAGTGTAAACATTGATTTGTTTACTATTAACTGTCTGTAGTCTGTACTGTATGGTGTAGAGCAGGTAGCGAATTCAAACTCAAGGAGGTCTGGTAAATATAATTTTCATTGAGCCCAGGTCCGAAACACGGTATAAACAGATTCAGTCAGTTTGTGTACGTACTGCGGTCTGCGATTTGGCCTGCATTCACACCAGCAGCTGCACTACAACGCATAGCTACTGGTGTGTGTTCCCAGGCACAGTGCTGATGTGCCGATCATGGTGCATTGCTCTGTTTATTTATTGTTAGAATTTCCCCCACACATACACCTTTACATACATGGGCATGCCTTATGCACATGTGTTCATTAGAATCAGATGGTGGGAAAGCAGGATTGGTTTTAATTTTCATGTTATTTTCAATTTTTTCATCACCTTTTTAAAAAAAAAATGTTACTTGACTTTTGTCATCACAAAGGGGCTAGCAAGCCCCTTTGGGACAGCATTTGGCGGTGACAGGTTCTCTTTATGAACAATAGAAAAATGTCACCAGCACACCATAAGTTGAAAAAGCAAAATATTTTATTGCCAATAGCTGTATCTCATTGGCAAGCGCTTTCGGGGCCTCACAGGATCCCCTTCATTATCTCTAAGCCTGATGAAGGGGACCCTGCGAGACCCCGAAAGCGCTTGATGAGATACAGCTATTGGCAATAAAATATTTTGCTTTTTCAACTTATGGTGTGCTGGTGACATTTTTCTATTGTTCATGTGTGGCAGTGCCATCCGTGGTCATTTCGAGCACCCATCTTCATCAAGTGGGAATCCCGGTAAGGAGTGCGGTATGGTTCCTGTTTCTGTTTATTCAGGTTCTCTTTATGGAGACATCAGGGTCTACTAAACTCCTGATGTCTCTCCTGCCCTCTAATACAGACCCAGGAATTCTGCCAGCCGGCATTTCAGCCAGCTTCTTAAAACTGAAGCAGAAAGCTCTGAGAGCACATCGCTTCATGCTTCAGTGATCACAGAGCAGATTGGGGAATGGATGTTCCCCAGTCTGCTCCCGCTCTCCATCCTGACACTGTTTGCTGTGGTCCTGGGCTCCCCAGAAGAGTAGGGGACCCAGAAAACAACAGCGGGAGGTGTAGGAGGGTGGGCAGGGGCACAACAGCAGGATAGTACATGTGATGTGGGTGGGTAGGATGCCAACAGTTCTAGCAACCAATGACTGAAGCAGGGGGGTGTCTGTACTGGGTTATGACTGAAAGTGGAAACACCGACCTCGGTGGCTAGTGTATCCACTGTCAGCCAGACATTACCTAGTGCAGGTCGGAGATCGCGGTACGAAAAGAACTGCCACTTGGTCCGTGTCCAGACCGCGGTCCGCCATTTAGTGACCCCTGGTGTAGAAAGAAACATGATTGCAGATAAGGACAGAGAACAAGATTGTCTGGTATGACATGGGATGGGGTGATGGCTAGTTCTTAGCTAAGTTCATGCATGGTTTGCCTTCTTCCACTAGTTTGTGATCTTTTTCTCCAGTGATTACATAAGGGAAATGTAGTTTAGAAATGATCATAGATGGATCCTGGCAGTGAAGACATGAGCCAGACTGGTATGTGAAGCAACTTTCATCTCTATTGTTCTTGGTCCTGGTGTACATTAATGTTGCTCAACAGTGCAATGCAGTCTGCAGATAGGCGATATGTAAATTAATTAATCTGAACGTATTTGTGGCATTCCCTTATAGGGGGTTGTTCTAAACAAGATTTTATTTGTGATGACGCCCTGAGGGTACGTATATATTAACAAAAGTGCCCTTTGATCATAAATGACAGAAAAGTCAGACTTTTAGACTGCCCCATGCTTGGGTCAGACTAGCTACATATCTGTGACTGCATGTTGTTTGTTAAATTAAATTGTCAATTAAATCGCCTTTGGGTAAACACAGCCCACAGAAGTGCAACAATGCAAATAAAAAGGGTAGATAGGTAACCTGTGTACTAGTACAGGCAATGAAAGTCAGCATTTTAATATGAAGACTATTTTATTGATCAAGTCAAAGCAATTTACTGGTATTTAAACCTATTCTTTGTGTTTTTCTTTGTACTACATAGAAGCACCATGAATGTGTGACCAGCTGTGAGTTCTTAAAATCTCTTAAAATGAACAAGCAGGGAGATTGTCCTCCTCCACACAGAGCATCTGGGTTCGCTGCTGCTTGTGTGTTAAGCTGCAGTATTGACAGAGACTGCCCTGGCATAAAGAAGTGCTGTGCCAATGGATGTGGTTTCACCTGCCAGGCGCCAATTAATAAGATTAAAGGTAATTTTTCTGCTGAGGGAATATACTTAAACAACAGCATTCATATCGATATCTAAAGTATTCTTTCTATCCTGCAGGCATGCCATTAAAACCTAACACTGATTTCATATTTAATGAACATCTCAATGGAAGCGTAGAAATCGCATGGAAATCTAGATTCAACGTCTCTGCAGAGCCAGTTTTGTATGTCCTGCAAAGAAGATGGAATTATGGCATTCAGCCCAGTGAGGATCAGTCTACATCATGGCAAACAGTAACAGTGGTCAGTGTTGATCTTATATAATATTATAAGTGCACAGTTCTAAGAGCTTTGTTTCTGCATACAAACATCTCAAGAACAACATTCAATGACAGTTTATGAAATGACCTAGGGGTCTTTTAGTAAACAGTTTGCAGGGCCCTCAGTCCCATGAATATCTGTGAATGTTTGTTTTGAGCAAATAGTTTAAAAAAATGAATGTTCTTAATAAAACATTTGTCCAGTTTGAATGTACTGTGTTGTAATAATACATTATGGACAATAGATGGAGCTGAGGAGCATAGGAAAATAGGGATTTATTTCCTGTGCTCCTCAGCGCCATCTAGCGGCCATTTACTTTCTCTAATAGAAGTGTAGTGTTATGTTGAATATAAAGGTAATTTGTCTATAATAATTTATGTGCAAAAATACAAATGTCCTTTTTCCCCCCCCCCCAGACAGCAACACATCACTTCAGTATGACAGACATAAGGTCAAGCAGATGGTATCAGTTCAGAGTAGCAGCAGTCAATGTACATGGAACACAAGGCTTCACCAGCCCAAGTAAACACTTTCTCTCAAGCAAAGGTAATGAACTATATATTGAGATTTTCAGTTCTGTCCTCAGGCACCCGCAACGATAAGTATTTCTTCTAAAGAAAACACAGTTTGAAGTAAGTTATAGATTCCCAGAGTTTTGTAAGAGACCATCAAAACATTATTGGTCAAAATGCTTTGAAGTTTTGGAAGGAGAAGAGTATGGTTAGAACTCCTGTCAAGTTTTTGTTGTTGTGTCTCTCCCAATGTAAGAGATTTCCCTATACTTCCTGTTGTGTCCCATGACAGTAAGTGCAGATAATCACTTTAACGGGGGACGGGACACAGCACTTATGTCAACTACCAATCTAACATTAGTTCTAACACTTTTCCTTTGTCTCCCAAGCTAAAAAAAAAATCCTTTGTTGGAGTTCCACTTTGTTGGAGTTCCACGTTTAACTCCAGCATCACACTATATTATCCAGTGTCACATACTAGTTTACTAGCTCCAAGGCAGCATTAAGCTCTTCTGCCACACAGAGCCAGAATAAGACCAAATAAGGGCCCAGGCATACTAAAAGCCTATCTAAACCACCATTCATATAAAAATCTTATTAGATTCCAAGTAGTAAATGTGTGCCAGTTTTAGAATAGGCAATGTTGGTGATATTACCAACAACCCTAAAGAAGTGTCTTAGTAGGCAGTAGAGATATGCAGAGGGTATTACAGTACACCAGAGCAATATTTAAATTTCTGCTTTGAGCCTATTTGTTCAGCAATAACTTAGTTATTCAGCAATAACTTAGTTATTGCATAAGATTAAAAAAAGCAATGAATACTTTTTTCAGGACAGACAAGGCTTTCTTTTGATACTATTGTCCTGCAAAATGTATTTGATTTTCTATTGAAATTCTAAAGAAAATTATGTAACAAAACTCATTGTTTGTAATTTAACAGTATTAGTTGTAAAACAACTTGGGGTCTATTTAAAAATATTTTCACCCATGACTCACACACCTTTATTTCAGAAGGCACATTTTTTTCTAAATGAATATACATTTCTAAATAGATTCTCTACTGTTTCGGTAGGTAATAAGTGACTTAAAAATGTCTGATACAAAGCATGGCAAAGGTATTTATAAATACAATAAAGGCTTCTTTTTTTATTTTGCACAGTTTTTTATTGCAACACTAATAAAAGTAACAAATAAAAATAATAAAAATGAGAAAAGTTTAAATATTAATGATTTAAAAAAAAATAATCAGAAAAATATTAGCTTAGGGGAGAAGGGGACAATGAGTTAATTAGGGCTGATAACAGATTGCTTTAACTGACATTATATGGAGATAAAAGGCCACCCCAATGAAACAGAGTAGAAATAGTGTTGTAACCTTGTACTTTTCAATGAAACCTCTGAACAGTGTCCAGAAAACACTGTTCAGAAGACGTGTTTTACACAGCAGCAGCTACAGCCACTGTTGTGGAAACAGAGCATACTTCCACTGTCATGTTGACAGCCGGTATTTGTATTTGCGTTAATAGAAGCCAGGTGAGTGAAGAGGATCAGAGTGGGACTGGGTGTTTGGGCAGTGGCACTGCTAGATTAGGGACATTTCTGAAGCAGTCTGGCCCTGCTGCCTCTCTTCTACACAACATCCATGTACCACTGCCTCTCTCCTGCAGATCCTCCTGCAAATCTTATAGCAGGAGATGGGAGAGAGCAGCATTACAGGGGTTGAAATGATTGGGTGGCTATACAGCCACCCAAACAATTCTGCTAAACATAGATTAACCAGGGGATATCATTCATGTTTTTATGCCCCCAGGCTCTAGACACTCATCTAGGTCAATTTATCGATAATCCGGCTCTGGGCCACAGAAAAAACTGTAGTGCATGCTTCCAGGAACTATTGCTTCCACCAGAGCCTAATCTCTTGGGTACTTCCCATGTAACAGATCACCTTAAAGTCTATAGTATCACTGCTAACCCAGCATTTTCTTTTTTTTTAACTCCATGGATAATCTGAACTAACCATTTGCTAGTGTAGTAAATCTACCACAACAAATCTACCACAACAAAACTACCATCTAACCTAGATCATTTGCTGATTCTTTTGACTTATGCCAACTGTTTTCCTTGTAATGTGCCATTTAAACCGGTTATACTCCTATAGCTATCATATAGTATATTTCCAAACATTTTCAGTAATTTCCAATAGGAAATGCTAGCTAGTGCTAGGAAGCTGTTATTGCTGGCACTTCTGCTATTTCCATGATAAAATCAGTACATTTTTAGCTGTATGATTGTAGAGATTCTAGCGATAGCTGGATACAGTACATTTACATATATGTGTCACTGTCTGTACTAGGGATCTTATAGAGTACATAGGAAGGATGGTAGGAAGGAAGGATGCCATGGAGCAAGCATTCTACACAGTGCTCAACTTTTGTGTATCATGCTGTGTAACTTCAGGTAGGGGCTTGTGGAGGTGCCATCCTCACACCTAATTGTATGTCCATGAACCTTTTGTTCCTGCTATAGACTTGTACTGGTCTAACATATTCAAATGATAGGTTATTGAAAAGGCCAACTCTACCTAAAACCAATAGTTCAATATTACACTGTTGTTAATAAGTTACGTCACAAACTGACTTCTTATATCTGCTAGGGAATCTAGTGGCCATTAATGCCAATCAGAATTCCCAAGTCTGACTAAATACTATTGCTGTTGCCAAGCAATTGGGTCACACGTTCCTAAAGAGCTTTACATAATGCAGTGCAAATAAATAACTGGGAAGTCTAGGCAAGAGAACTATGAACTGGAAGTCCAAAAGACATAAGTGTTGGCCTTTATTCAATAGCCAGTGCAAAATACTTCTTTTTGTCTATATTTTGTTATATGTATTGTGTGTTTAGGTATTTCCTTTATCTTCTGTTTTGTACTAAAATGTTGATACGGTATATTAAATTAATCATTTTGTGCAGATCCTTTGCCACCTTCTACTCCTACTGGTCTCACATATGGTAACCTAACAACTGTCCATGATGGTACTCTATCTGTACTTATTACCTGGGTTGCACCACAAGAGCAAGATCTAAAAATCCATCATTACAGAATATCCTGGAGTAGTAAGTCCAATGGAGATCTGAACGCTGGGAGCAAAACAGACAGCTGGAGGATAACAGATGGGGTGTGTAATGTTGAAAGCTATGATATTCCAATCACGTCTTGTACTTTACTGTCCAATTAACCGATGTTCTTTGTTATTGCAGGCAAACACTGAATTCACTTTAGAAAGGTTGTTGCCTGATACTGAGTATATAGTAAAAATACAAGCTGTCTCATTTTGGGGTCAGAAACGACTGAGGAGTTCAAAGTCACAGCTTATTATTAGCACAACATTGAAAGGTGGGATTTGACAGTGACTAACCTAACTCTAATACCAATCAGTCCAGTTCACATGGATACAATATACCACAGTGCGTGTATGTAAAACTAGTTTAGTAAAGCGAATCTGCAGTGCTTTCCAAAATATGTATTGATGTCCAGTTCTAAAAAAGTTAATGCTTTTTATTTTTTAATCAGGTAAATGTGAAATATTGCATATAAATAGTTCATATTTACTATTTGAAACCAGCAGGTGACATGCTATGCAAATTATGTGCCCTGTGGTCTTTCTTACATCTGATGGACTAAAAATAGAGCTGAGGGGGTAAGCAAACACATCTTTCCCATCTGCTAACAAATGTGGTAGTATCTTAAGCAAAGCCATTGCTGGTTTTTCAAACAGTGCTCTATATAAATGCTTATGTTTAAAATAAAGGTTGAATACGAATAGTATATATAACCATTTATAAACTTTAAAAGACAACTAAAGCCAAACCTTTTTTTTGGCTTTAGTCCTGTTTTGGATCAAAGGGGTACATTTACTAATGTACTCCTGTGACTCAAAGTCAGTCACTGCCCACTATTGCTGCAAGTGCAGAGCCATGCTGCAGCCTGGAAAGATCCTGACAATATTGTTGGGATCCACCCCGTTGCCTGATTGACAGCTGGCTTTGCCTCTCTAGAGCCAGAGCCAGCTGCGCCCGCCCACTCCCCTGTTTGTCCCTCCAATGAGCACTGGAGGAACAGAGAAGGGAGGGGGCAATCCCTGTGGGGAGCGGTGATTGCAGGGAGAAGACCGTGAACTGAGCGGTCAGCGGTCCGTGATCACACGCTGGCTCTGTGCATTAGGAAGAGTACATTCTACTTTCCCAATACTGTACTTCTGCTTTAAAACCTAAAGGTTTGTATGGGTTTGTATAAATTTCAGCTTGAGCTATTGATCTCTATGCAGAATAGGCTTTTTGCAACAGTAAGTGTCCCTGAAAAACATGTTAAAAGGAGAATAAAGCTCCCCCTGCTGCCTTTTAAAGAGAATACAACATGTTAATATGCAATGTTTCATAATTACCTAAAAATATATTGTTAAGTAATATTTTTAAGCCCTGATCATATGCACATAAAAATCATGTGCAAAATCACAACACGTTCCCTTTGAAGAAATTTATTTCAGATTTTTATTAACAAAAAAAATACAAAAACAATATAATTTCCCTTTAAGTCCCCCTCACTAGCTAACTGTTTAGTAACCTATTCCATGGTTACAGACTAGGTTTTTCTGACACTAATCTGCATGTATAATCTACTTCAATATATTGTGTCTGATCATTTTTTATTTATGCTATCAGGGCTATGCTACCTAAATGTAAATTATTCCAGTTGAAAATGTCATGAATAAGTAATTAAATAATTGCTGCTCAACCAGCAAACCCCAGAAAAAATTTGGATGTGTACAACATTTTTGTGGAACTCAAGAATATATAAGCTGCTGACTTAAAACTCACATGTGGCCTTTTTTTCTGAAAAGATGGTATAACACACACCGTGCAATATAAATAACATTGATATCCCAACTTCTTTTTTTTTTCTTTTTAATGAACAGATCCAAAATTATCGAATTTTCATCCCGTGGATGTCTGTAAATCATTTCACACTAGCTGCACTTTGCAAGCATATTCTGATTATCACAATAATCAGGTGCAGATAAAAGTTTCATGGAAGCCAATATCAGGTAATATCTCATATCTACTTTATGTGATTCCTAATTTACTGTGATGTAGCAAAAACCTGAGATTACATAGATACTGTATGTGTTTGTCATCATTTCATGTGAAACTTGAAACATTGTTTAGCATTGTGTGCTACCTCTATATTCAGAAAATGTAAAGGTCTTTTAAGAATGCATTCCTGGTGACATCTCCATCTTGACCTCATTGCCAACAATGGATCAGCATAAAGCCACTGAAATCTGAAAAGTCTGAATTCACATTTTTAATACTTAGTACCGGGAAATGAAGCCCGGATCAGGATGGCAGTCATAGAGCTTACATCTTTAATAAAAGTTAGCAATGGAAGCTGCTATTTATTTATATAAAGCTGTGAAGGTTCTCATTCATCCAGGCGATGGTACATCTGTGAAAATTCAGGGAATGTACACAGTGACACCGGAAGTCCAGTCCAGTCCAGATCACTTCCAGGTCCAGTGATCGGAGGAGAGAACAGCGGCTGGAAGCCTGCTGATGTCTCTCTGATCGTTGTGAGGAATTGAGAAAGCTGGTCGGATGTCAAGTGAAAGGTCTTCAAGAAAAATAGAGCAAGTCCAGTTGCCTTGACTTTTTATTTACAGATATTTCTATAAAGGTTCACTTTAAAGGAGAACTATGGGGTTAAGTCTTTTCCCCATAGTTCTCCTTAGGGTAACGGGAGGACACAAACTAGCGTCTTCCCGTCACCCTAGGCTCAGTAAACCGCGAGCTGTAGCTCGCAGTATACTGAGACGCCGCAGCTGAAGCAGATCCTGACAATTGTGCCAGGATCCGCCCAGCTGCGTGACTGACAGCTGGCTCTGCCTATCTAAAGGCAGAGCCAGCTGTACCAGCCCCCTCCCCCGTCCGTTCTGCCAGTCAGCGCTGGCGGATCGGAGCGGGGAGGGGGGAATCCAGCCCCTCCCCTGTCACGGCAGAGAGCCGTGACAGGATCGAGAGGTGAGCGAACGCCGGTATGTGTTCGCTCACCTCCCGATCTACTGAGCCGACCTGTGACAGTTTCATTGTCACAGGTCGGCTAGAACTATGAGGTGAGTGAAAATCACTCACCTCATAGTTCTCCTTTAAGTTAAGTCATGTCACAAAATTGAGCAATTCACAATGAACATTAGATGCAAAAATGCATAAGCCAAGGTTACCTTCTGTTAAAAGAAATAGATCCAGGGATATAGAAGTATTAAACTCTCAGGGCCCATTCACACATATGGTGGTGACCTGCTTTGTACCACACCAGATCAAGGCAGGTCACTGCAAAGATACATAGAAAACAATTTTTTCTATGTCTCCCAGTCACACCACAATGCAGGTGTGATGGGCGGTGCACTGCGATAAAATCCAAACATGCTGCATTTTATTGCAGCTGCCATGCGGCGACCTGAATAGAGTGTACACGTTGTACACACCACATAAAAAAAAAATCTACAACACAGTAGCCCGTCTGCTAAAAAGGAGCATTTTAGCATAGGGGCTTGTGTGCATGGGCCCTCAAACTTTTTTTCAATAATGAACCCACATCAAACAAATATAAATTGCCCAGCAAAGTATTTCTTTACATATTTACCCAAACACTTACATTTATCATGTTTCCAAACAGCTGTCTCCAACTCTCTCAGCTCAGCTTCCCTAAATTTCTTGTCCAGTACAAGATCACACGGGACAGAGCAGATTCCAGCAGTCGTCTATCTATTAGCTTAGAGAAGGGTGAAGGGAGGAATGAGACAGGAGGAGGAAGGAGTAGAGAGCAGAGGAAAGACTTGGCTGGCTGTTTGTGTGTGGAGACACACACAGCTTACTAGCACACATAAGGATGGCATCACAGGACCCTGCAAGGGAAAGGAGTCACCCTAAAACAGGATATAAGGTCCAGGGAGTGCTCAGGGGACTAACTGATTCTGCAGAGAACTAAAGCCTCTTAGGGTTTACTTTAAGTTTCAAGACAGACACTTTTCCATACAGTTGTTTAGGTTCTGTGCCTGCATTTGTGAAGTATTCTGTAAGGATCTTTGAATTTTGGATTTGCTCTTATGGATCATAAAATAATAGTAAACTACACATCTCACCAGAGCAACATGGAAGCCCCAAACTCTAGCGTATTGTAAGATAAACATCCTGAATTCAAGTTTGGCCTGACCTCTTTGCTTTCATATTGAGTATAAAGGTTGTTGATATATTCATAATTCTGGACCAACAAGGTGATGTGAGTGCAGGCCAACTGTAGGAACAGAAGTCATAATCTGCATATTATAGCACCTCGGGTTTCAGGGCTCCTGCAGCACTCTGGAAGAGGTCTGATGGGATGTGTAGAAACCTCTAGGTGGCAGTTTACTACTTTGCAAGTAAATACCAGTTTGTTTTAACTTGTATTTTTGTATACTTTGTAATGAGTCTGCTCTTTCTTTCATCTGTTTTTTTATTGCATATGAATTTTTACAAATGTATCACTACTACATTTTAAAAACATCAGAAATGCATAATAAACATGACTTGTTTTCTCCCCTAAGTGCCTAGATGCAGGCATATATGTATGTTATATTGCTGGCTTCTGACTGTGGCAGCAATGTACAGGCATAAAAAGACTATACCTAAAATTTACAATTTATAGGTGGATATGATATGTTGCACCTTTTACAAAACCCAATCCAGTGCAAGCTGGATTGGTTGTATTATTCTTTATTAAAAGTACGAACAAAATGATATCATTACCTTGGCACCTTTAATATCAATAATTATCTCCCGTGATATAATCAAACCAAATGAGAGAGGTGTGTGTTTTACTTTTTTTTATTGTATAGTTCAATTAATTGTCAAGTATATGCACAGTCTATGAAAAATTAAACATATACAGTATATATACTGTACGTCTGACTGTTAGCATTTTCTTTATTGTTTCTCCATCTGTATGTTGGTTTGATATGTATTGTTTGTTAACTATTAAATTGCCTATGCAACTTAAATATCTATTAGAAATATTGCCAATGTATATAATATACAACATTGAATAACTTACATCGTTTTCTTTTGGCAGTCCTTGCATTATGTGGGGGCTTTTTGAAATTTTGACTAGGTCATGAAAGTATGGGGTTATTGCAATTTATTTTACACATTTGTATTGATTTAATAATGTTGATGCTGT